GGCCGGAGAAGTCATCTGGCTCCTTCAGCCTTCGCTGGGGATCCCAGAGCAAACCCGGCTCTGGGAATTGAGCCCAGCCAAGAGGCAGTGGGAATTCTAAATGAGCCCTACAAACCACACCTGCTGGGCTGGGGGGGGACAGAAACCCTCAGCTGGGCCACGGGGACTCACAGAAACTGGGATTATTTGGTGTCACAAGGAAATTCTGAGCGTGCCGACCAAAAACTATTCGGTTTTTAAAAGCCAGCTCAGGGAATTCTGCAACAGCTTCTTCCCCTGCCCCATTTCCATGAAAATCCATGTTTTTCTAAGACCATCTTCTCCTCATTAATGAAAGATCATCATCACCCCATTAATGAAAGATCATCATCACCCCATTAATGAAAGATCTCCCTATTAATGAAAGATCATCATCTCCCCATTAATGGGCATTGATCTGCCCATGTAAATCCACAGGTATTGTGTAGACAGGGAATATAATTTCTTTTCTCTGTTTATGGAAGATGAACAGAAGGACTTCAGGCAATTTTTTTAAACTCTAGGTATAGAAAGTTTTGTTGGCCCAACAGTTTAACTATTTAGAAATGGTTTTATCCTTGTTAATGTTCTGTATGATCCTGGTGTCTAAAGAGTCACCATCACTACCCACCCTACAGGTATCTTTTTTTTCCTTTTTTTTTTAGGGGGGAAGTGTTTTCTGCATCAGTCATTGAAAGGGTGTATTTACTTCACTGCATTTTTATAAAAAAGGAGAGGGTTTTGCTGTTTTAGGGAACTGTTTCAGGGTGATGTAATTTCAAACTGTTTTAATTAAACATTTAAGTAGGAAGGCCCATTAAATTAAGAGCAGTTTGCTTGTTTAGCTTAATTTAAGGATAAATCAGTGTGTTCAGAACAGATTTAAATCTGCTTTAAACTTGTCTAACTGCTTTGTAGAGAAGGTCTAAATATTAAGAAGTTACCTGAGGTAGAGCTGAAGACAAATCAGTGAGAAAAATCACTCAGATTGTTCCTGGGAGACAGAAAGAAGACAGATTAAAACCCAACTGACTTCGTATTTAATTTAATAATTTGAATTAAAGTAAGGTAAATCTGCTTAGCAAAAGTTCCTCTCTTTTTTAACCTGTCTGTAAAGAGGTGAAGTACCAGAGACCATTTGGTGCCATTTATGCCACTTGGTGTTGACAACATGTTTGATGCAGTGATCAAATATGAGATCAATAAATCAGTGATCAATAAGAGATTGTAAAAATGAAGCTCTGATATTAAATATAACAAAATCTCCACGCTGAAACCTCACATCCATGAATTTTTAGTGACAAAAGCCCACTCCTTGTTCAGAATTAAAGTTCAGGGTTAATTAATGAGTTAAGTCAGGATACAAAGACCCGGGCATAGATAAATGGCTACAGAATTTATTGACCATATCCCTTTTTTTTTTTGGTGGGATCTCTACACCAACACAAACATAAATATATTAATTTAAGGAGCTGTGGTTCCCTCACAAACACATCTGCCCAGGGTTTGTTACGCCAGGTCCTTGGAACTCCTGAACTCTTCCAGCCACGGAGGCGAATTCCAAGTGAAATATTGAAATGGCTGCAAGCTGGGGAGCACATGCCTTGGAAAGGCTCCAGGTACACAGAGCCTGATCTCCAAATGAACATTCCCACAGTGCTGACAGACACATGTGGCCAAAAACTCAACGGGAGGCTCCCAGAGAGGCTCCTTGAATGGACTCACTGTGCTGGGGCAATGGGAGACTGAGAATTCCTGCCCCCTCCCTGTGCCAGAAACCAGGAATGGCTGGGCTGGGCATGTAATTCCTGGTTTGTTTGCTGCTGGATCAAACTTGGGCATCAGCAAATAGAGCTGGATTGGAACAGCCAAAGCACAGTGAATATCTGCAGGTCCCTTCCCAAAGCCCATCAGGGAAGTGTTTTGACATCACCTCTCCATTTCCCCACCCATAATACGTGGAAAACATCCCCAGGGGGATTTTTTTAGCTTTAATGTAAAGTTTGGGATGTGTTTTGGCTACATCTTTTGTTCAAAGGCAGGTTTCCTGGTGATACAACCT